AAAGGATACAGTAGGAAGAAGTTCGATTTCACAAGTTTAAACCTTTAAAGCCAAAAAAGCTGTGATTTTGGAATTGGAAATTGAGTTTGGTTTCCTGATTCACATGTTCATGGTTTGTGGTTCTTCTTGTTAAGTGATATTTAGTTGTGTAAGAAATGCTGCTTCTTAGATTGGCTTTATGTTGTTTGCAGTTTGCTTTCATAGATGATAAATTGAATTTGCCTTGTTTCAGAGTCGATGTTTCTCTTATCGATTTAGTATTGTTGTTGTTTTAGTTGAAGCCTGAGGAAATCGAAGGAATCAACAAAGATTTTGCTGAACCTGGAACACTTGCCCCAACAGGATTGTTCCTCGGTGGCAATAAGTACATGGTAATCCAAGGAGAGCCAAATGCTGTCATTCGAGGAAAGAAGGTAACTGTACTGTTTGATTTGGTTTGTTGTCTGGTTTTGATGAACTTTTGATTCCAAGAAGGTTGTTGTTACTTGTTTTAATGAGCCAATGTTACTTTTGATTTGATTGTAGGGAGCAGGTGGTGTTACCATCAAGAAGACCAACCAAGCTTTGGTCTTTGGTATCTATGAAGAACCAATGGCTCCTGGACAGTGCAATATGGTTGTGGAGAGGCTCGGTGACTACCTGATCGAGTCGGGTCTCTGAAACCCAAGCCGCTGCTATATTCATGTTGGTCGTGTAACCTTCCAGTTATGTTGAGAGTGAAAATCTATTTATACATCTGTGATCGATTACTCGATGGTCCGACTGTGTATTACCTACTATGTGATGGTTCTTGAGGTTGTACTATTCTAAAACAATATGGTATTTTCTCCATTTGTGTCAAGTTGAGATTTAATGAATGGCAGTGTGGTACCATAGCTTTAGATTTTGTCGATGGTTCTGCTGATTGAATCTATCTAGTTGAACAAAACTATGAACAGATTTGATTCAGACAAGTTTTACAGATTGAATGTCTGTACAACAAATCCAGTGCAAGGAAGAACAACAAAATCTTAGAAGGTCACCGTTCCTTGACCAAACAGTTGAGGAACAAATCTTACTTTTTCCTGATATTGCTACATTCCTGCTTCAACACTGACTTGATTTTCTATCAGATTTTGGGTTAAAATGCCTGTGAATTCAGAGTTTGCAAACTGAACAACAAGATCACGAGACAGAGCCTCAAAGTCCATGTAGACAGTTTGTTTCCCTGCGAAGTTGAAGCAGAGGAGTTTAGTGAAGTCGCATTCGTCGCCTTAGTTTTGTTCCTGCAGAAGATTTGAACAAATCAGTTAGAATATGTATGTGTCGTTCTTCAGTTTGCAAATCTGAAACAAAGTTGCTGCTGCTTTATGACTTACCCGCCTGCGGTTATGTATATGCATTTGTCATAACCTGTAACAAAGTTGAATCAGATTAAGGTTAAACAAAGACTCTTGACTTGTGATTTTGCAGAAGCAAAAGCTGGAGATTGTGATTACTTACTAGGGTCCTTGTTGACCTTAACACCAGCTCCTCCAAAGCTACAAGCGACGTCTGTGGCTCTGTTTTGCTGGAAATAGCTATTGAACACGAAAGAAGCATGAGAAACCAAAGTATCAGGTTGGAAACAAGGCTGGCTCGGTTGAATAGCCGTGCAATCAACATTTCCAGGACCACAAGCCCAATCCAAAGCTCCTTTCAGGTCTCTCTCCGAAGCTTTAGAAGAAGCAATGCACCAGCTATTACTATTCCCACTCGAGTTTGTACCGCTCGAATTCGACTGAAACCCACTGTTCTTTCCCGTGAAGTCCAACTGATAAACGCTTGTTTGGTCAGGGTAGAACAATCCCCAGTTTCTCTCTGAATCCAAACCTGCTTTCCTGTTCTCATTGAACAGAGAAAATATGTAAACGTTCATCGCCTCTCCTGGTTTAGCAGGTGTGCCTTGGTTGGTAACCGTATGGCGGATTATGTTCGTGTTGTATGTCTCTGCATTGTCAGGAGACGCAGCAGCTTTCTCCTTGGGTGAGCCTTTGGTCGGCCATCCAGTCTCAGTAACCATAATCTTGATCGTCCTGAAGTTTAAAGCCGTGAGGGCGAAATAGAGCGCATCAACTTGAGCATCAAACATGTTCTTGTAAAGAAAACCCGTGTTCGGGTCAATCACTTCAGAGGAAGACTCGAACAACACATAATCCAAAGACACATTGTTCGGGGAATCTCTGTAAGCGTAGTAAGGATAAAGATCGATCATGAAAGGAGACTGATTCTCGGCTAGGAACTCAAGCATTGGCCGCAAGAAATATGCGTAGCTGCTGTTGAATGCTCCAGCCGAAGGAGGGAAAGATCTAGAGAGAATACCAAGCGAAAGAGTCGTCGAAACCTTGATTCTTCTGCTCAAACCGACTTTTTTCAATCCGGTTAACACATTCTGCATCGCGGGGACAACGAAAAACGAGGCATTGTTGTGTAGATCATCAGTAGATTCAGCTCCAACGGTAATGTAAGTGATCTTGGTCGTTGGATAGTAAGGTAAGACGCTGTTCTTAAGCCAAGAGTCTACATTTGATTGGAACTGAGAGAAAGCAATGAGATCGGAGTTTGGAACTCCGATCATAAGCTCAATGCTTGTGTTTCCAAATGCTTTGAGGACTTGAGAATTGTAATCATAGATTCGAACGTATTTGATGTTATGCTGTTTAATCAGTTGAACAACTTTGTCCGGTGTCGGAAGATCGTCGGCGCTTCTTCCGTAACAAACTCCGACCTTACCACCGTAGCAACAGTCTGCAAAAAAAAAAGATTGGGGAAAAAACAGACAGAACAGAATCAATTGGTTTTATTCCGAACAAATTTGTCTTTTGGGATTCGATTGGAAATGAGGGTTCCAAGAACTGAAATTGTATCTATATGAACATGTACAGTAGCTCAAGCGTCGAGCTCTACAGTAGTAGTTTGCAAGAAATTAATGGAATCTATCAAATTCTATTGAATATGAATCGAAATTGGAATCTGATGAATGTTTTGCAGAACAGAGTCTCATAAAGCTCTTGAAGTGGAGAATCATTTGCTTTAATGGCTCTAAT